CAAGCGGGTCCTGTGCAGCCGGCTCAGCAGCGCCCCGCCCTAAGTCCTTGCCGGCGCGATTAGAGAAGATCAGCGGGGCACCGAGAGGAGATTTACATGCACGCGCGCAGCAATGCCGCGAGAGCCGCCACCATGTCCTCCACGCCGGTGCCGGTCCCGGACAGCGGCGCCCCTCACGACGACGACGAGGGCGCCCCGCTCACGCTGCTCGCCGACCTCCAGGACGACTGCCCCGGCGCCACCATCGTGCCCGCGGGGAGCCTCAGCAAGAGGCGGAAGAGCGGCGCCGGATACGAATCCGCGACGGACAACAACGTCCACTTCGACTCGTTCCGGGTGAAATCAGGTCAGTCGAGGCGGTCGAACCAACCAAACACGGCATACTCAAACAAAAAAGCAGGTTCTTGATGCTAGGTTTTCGTGTACTTGATTTTCTCAAGAACATAGAGCTTGTGTTGTACCATTCTACTTGGAACAAGACAGAATTTTATCCAGAGAAACGCAATGCCACGCAATGTTTATGAGAAAATAAAGTAAATCCAAACAAAAAAGCAGGTATACTTGAAATCAAGTGGAATTCCTTAAAAGTGACCAAATGCACTCCTTCAAGAAAATGTAGCAGATTTCCAGAGCCTGTTTTCTTGTTTGTTTTGGGGTTGGGGGGTGTACAATATTTTTACTTAATCCAAGAACACTTCTCTTGAGGGGGTGGGGAGGAGGTTAGTGTCGTTTGCGTTGCACCGAAAACTCCCCATTGAGCGCACTTTCGCAGGGCCGGACGTGCTTCGCGTGGTGGACAGCCTGCTGGCGCTGCACGTGATCGCCCCCCTGGTCATCTCCTGCTGGCGGGGGCTGTGGGAGCTCTTCGGCCTGTTCCCGGACGTGTACCCGCCCTGGGCGCAGGCCGTGTTCGGCTCCGTGCTGCACACGCTGCTCGCCCTCACCAGGGACGTGTTCATGAGGACGTTCGACTGCCGCCGCTACCCGGAGCCCGGACGCAGCCTGATCAAAGTGAGGCGCGAACTACTCGACTCGGTGCATTCACTGGAAAAACAAAGGTGCCAAGTCGTGCTCGGTCGTGCCTTTCTATGGGTGCAGAAGATACTTTCAATTTAGTGATTCTTTCAAGGCACTAACAGAGAGTCCTTAATGTGCTAAAAGTGTGGTTCTAGTGCCCTATACAGGTAGGACTTAGCACCTGTGTTTTTCCAGTACTCTGTTGCTGACTCTCGTGCGCCGACGAGTAGTCGTCGAGTAAAGCTCGACCGGTCTTCAGGTCAGCCCCATGAGCGCGTCTGCACCAACAAATGTATCGGCAGGCAATCGATTCCCAGCCTGTCACTCGTTCAGCAGCACAGTAGTGCCAATCTTCCTCAAGATCAGACGAGCTGTGCGCGGTGTGCTAAAAACGCCCGTGCGCATCAAATACTTTACGGCAGAGGTGGGGCGAAATACGATGGCGGACGAGGAAGGATTAAAGTGAACCTGTAACAACCGCAGCTCTGTCCGATGAGATTTACTGCCCTCTTATCAGGGCGCGGCGGCCGGGCCGACACTCGGCGACGACGTCCTTCGGCGGGCAAACAACGGCTTTAATTTAGATAAAACTGCTCATATTTTAGCTTCGGCGGGGGTGTTAAGTTACCTGACCTTCGCGCCCTTCGTGAAGCTCACTCGGGGCCGCTGCCGCCGCCGCCGCCTCCGTGTGGCTCCGAGACCTTTTACGTCCCTCGCCGTTCCCGAACTTCGTGTTGTTCATCACAGCCGAGCCGAGCCGAGCCGAGCTTAGCCAGGCAGGGCAGGAAGCACTCCAACAGGGCCTCAGCCTCATTAGGCATATCGATATTAATTGATTGCTTCCTGTGCGCCCCTGCTCCCCCCGCCCACCCTAACCTAATTTAAGGACCGCCCCATGGACGCAATTGTGGTCCAGCAGCCGGTCGCTGCTGCTGCTGCCGGTGCTACTGCTGCTGTTGCTGCCGGTGCACCGAGAGGAAGGCGCTCAGCGGGCGGCGCCCCGAGCGGCCTCTCCCTCCCCTGCTCGGCCATGCCGCTGCGGCCCCTTCCTGCCCCCATGCCGAGCGCAGCGGAGAGCAGCGGCGAGCTTTGCGCAACAGAACAATAGTCATTTGAGCCCATGTCAATGAGAATCTACATTAGTGGCGCACGGAGAAAAAAGAAAATAGTTCATTTGATTTCTGAAAGTTGTGTTTTTGTAGAAATGGTTTCCTGTTGACACCTTTCTTCCTTTTTTAAACTGAGAATTTCCAGTGGTTTGGTCTGTAGCCTCGTCCTTGACCTGCAGGTGCTGACGCGATGCTACACGTGGGTGTTCGCGACAGCGTGCATCAGCCACTGGCGCGGCACCTGGTTCCTCCTGGACATGCTCGGCGTGGACGCCACCAAGGTGGTCCTCATCTGGGCGCTGGCCGCGCTGCTCATGCTGGGCACCCGCTCCCTGCGCAACACCATGGCGCCGCCCCTCGTCGTCGGCTCGGACGGGCCCGACTTCTGCTTCACCTTCACGCACATGTTCCGCTCCGACGTGAGTACCAAAGACCGGCAGTGGCGAGCATAGGATGCTCGTTTGGTTGGTCCGGAAGCGAGAGGTGCGAGGGAGAGATGGAGCTATGTTGCCAACATGACACTCCGTATCGTTTTCGGACCAAACAAGCATCCGATGCTCGATCGGGGCGGGGCTCTGGTGGTGAGTACCGCCCCAGCCGCCAGGCGCCGGGTAGGTTGCTCCTTGCGCAGGGGTGCCTCCGCGTTGCCTACCCTCACGGCGGTCCCCGCACGGGCCGCGGGCGCCGCTGCAGCCTCCTCCTCCTCCGGCGCTCTACACTACCCGCGTCCAGCAAGCAGTACCGCCTGGCAAGAATCGAAAGAGGGGCCGGAGAGTGAGAGGGAGATGGCGTGAGAGCGCGCGCGAGAGAGCGAGAGCGCATAGCGGCTGCAGCGAGGCGGCGCGGCGGGCGGCGCTGAGTGGGAGGGCAGGCCGCGGGCCGGGCCGCCCGGCGGCGCAGTCGGACGTGCCACGGACACAAGACCAGGGCGGGGACGGAGGAGGGGAGGCGGGGGCAGGGTGTAGGGCACAAGCAGCAATCAGGAACACTATAGTCCGTCCCGCTCAGCGGCGGTCTTCGACCGGGAGGACACCCCTGGCCGCTCCACCTCGCCCCCGCCCCTCCCTCGTCTCTCTTACGCATTCACTCACATAGACAGACGATCTGAAAAAATTAGGAAAGAAGTAAGAAAGGACAGGAGCGTGGGAGACATTTTGGCTCATGATTGTCCCCCCGAATGGGGACGGACAGCGCAATTACCAGATGCGACTAGTTGTGGTGCACGGGGCCGGGGTGCACCAGCTGCAACGTCTTGGGACGGCCGAGGTCACCGAGGACGAAGGAAACATGAGGACCGCGACGTTGGCGCTCCGCGGGCTCGCGCAGACAGGCGGGCACTCTTGCCCGTGCCCTGCACTCCCTCTCTTTCTTTTTCCGTCATTCAAGGGAGAACGGGCGGGAGGCGGAGTAGGGCGAGGAGGAGGATCTGGAGAGGGGTGGGGGAGTGAGGGACAGGAGGCGGGAGACACGTGGGGAAGGGGGTGGCCGTCGGCGTCCTCGCTGAATGGAGGCCGGTGGGGGCCTTTGGAGTGCCCCGCCGCCTGGGCCTGGGCTGGGCCCCCCCTGGGGGTCAGGCTGGATGAGCCCGTGTGTGGCTGTGCTGGTCAGTGTCGCGCGGGTCTCGGACATGGAGACGGCAGCGACGCGCCGAACCCTCGCCGCCAACCCGGACACATTACGGTGATGATCCTGACGCTCTCCGTGTCGCGCGGCGGTGCCCGATCCTCGACGACGACGACCACCTCCCCGATGTGGGACAGACCGTGGGCCGACCTGTGCGAACCGACCTGAGTCCACCTCAACCACGGCCTGCTCCGCCCGCTCCGCACCAGGATGTGGCCGAGCGAGACGGCGGCCGCCGCCAACGGCCCGGCCGCGACCGTGGCGTCCTCGCCACCGCGACGCCGGAGGCAGTCGTTCACCATGAGGGGCAGCATCGTGGGCATCTCGGACGGGCTGCGCGGCTCGTCCCGAGGCCACTACGTGCTGCTGCAGGCGCTCGACATGCTCGTGTCCATGTTCGTCATGACGCCCGCCGTCGTCAGCTACTGGCGCGGCACCTGGGCGCTCATGGACTACTACGTGTTCCCCGACCAGCCCAACCTCAGCAACCTGCTCTCCATGCTGATCGGCGCCGTCTGCCACATCATCTTCACCATGGTGCGTGCGCCCGGGGATAGCGTGCGAGGGCGGGAGAGAGTGAGCTGGAGTGAGCGTGCGAGTGTGGGCTCGTCTGCGAGGAGAGGCTCGCGCTGGAAGGCGGCCCGCCACTTAGTTGTCGGATCAGCGCGGGTGGCCAAGCTCTCATCGTGAGCGCGCCAAGCGCGCCCGCTGCTCTGTTTTGATTATAAAAAGTATGCCGCTTGTGGGAAAGAGGGGGAGGGGGGGGGAATCTGGAGCAGTTGTAAGATGTGATGTCAGATGTTGAGGTACGCCGACCTGACACCTTTGCAAACACAGGTGCAGCACCCGCTCGAGAGGCACCTGCACCCCGACAAGCACCGCCTCATGTACTACGTGCTGTCGCGCATCTACACCGCCATCTTCAGCTTCGCCTGCGTCAACTCGTTCCGCGGCGTGTGGAAGGCGCTGGACCAGCACACGGGCCTCAACCCGGCCACGGTGGCCGCGCTCACCAGCGTGTCCGTCGTGGCGCTGGCGTGCATGCGCGCGCTGCGCAACATCTCGGCGCC